TCGATATCATGTCCACAGAAGGTTATCTTCTTCCTAAAATCTCACACTTTATCATGTTTGCTCTTAACCCATGAGCCTGAAAGCGACGTAAAACTTCTTCAAGGTTGGCAAGATGCTCTTCATCGTTCTTTCCAATGATGACCATATCATTAAGGATACAGCTTGTTCCAGACGTTCCTTCAAAAAATTGATCAATGATGCGCTGCCAGATAGCAAATGCAGACGCCAAACACAAGTCGGTTGTACTGAGACAGTCCCATATGGGTGTTGATAGTGAGATATTTCTTTGAATTTTCTTCCATCTCTAATTAGTGGCATGCTTAACGGAGGTCAATCTTTGAGAATTTTAGCCCACCAGCAAGGTTTGGAAAGACGTCTTCAATGCGAGGAAGAGGGCACTGCTCTACTTGTAGTTCTAGATTTATTGTGACCTTGTAATCACCAAAAAGTCTGACGGAACCATCTTTCTTGGGGACAGGCACAATCGGTGGAGCCCATTCACTCCACTCCAGGTCCAGCAACTTTATTTGGGTTTGGTAATCCACAAGTACTTTGAGTATTCCCACTGGCACAATGTTTTCCCCGGTGTAGGTTTTCAAGGACAATCCAGTTTTGTGCAGGGAAAGCCTGTTAAATCTCTGCTGGTAGAGGTCAAACGAGATGATCAACACAGCCGAACCTGTGTCCAGTTCCATCTTGAGTGGTTTACCATCAACATCCAAATCAACCCAGATAATATCATTGCTCTGTTTCCTCACACTGTGTACCGTGAAGGCGGCTAAGATGTCTTCTTAAGCATCAACATCAACTTCAACAGCGTGTACCTCGGGGGTTTTGGTTGCTTTCTTAGGCTCGCATTGCTGTTTGGAACGACAAACCCGCTGAATATGGTTCTGAAAATTGAAACTAGAAGGAATTCCATGGCAATAAATTGTTTTGCTTAAGGAGAAGAAATACTTTTCTGTGGAAATTGAATTTTTCTCAATGGAACCTGATCGGGTGATACTCCTTTAAGATATAAATCGTCATTACTCCCAAACAGCATTCAGCTTTCAATTTATTTATCAGTCATGCATAAATGATGAACAGCTTTAGGAGTGTGCAACAACTCAAGCCATTTGCTAGACTGTAATTTCCCCTCTGAATGTTTCTCCGATGATAGTCGAGGTCTTTTCGACAGTCTTCGATGTAAAAAAATCGTTGGTATTGCACCATGTTTGAGCGCAGATCTGGGTTTAAAACCAAGAATTTTTGCTTGCAACGTCCTTCGAAGAAGCCAGGTTATTAAATGTTTTATGCACAGCCTAGAGTTTTTTCGGAACGACGAGATCCACTCGTGAGATCTTTGCCAGCCACTTTGGAACAATCGAACGCCACGCAGTATACCATTTTTTTTTAGCTCGAAAGCAATCAAAGTAGATATAGCAGCGAGGGCTAGTCAGTCGTCAAGAACACATAGAGGAATAAACTCAAACAACTCAGGCTTCTGCATTTGTACATCCCTTCTTGCGTAAGCCAAGAATTTCACCCATTATAGAGAACTTATAAACCATAGTTCAACACGAATTTCATAACTTTATTTCTTTTTGGACTTCTTTCGACATTGTTAACAGCGTGCGTTAACATGCCATTGCAAAATCCAGACTAAAAACTCGTTGCAAACCAATGTTTTAAAAAGTAAATAACAAAACTTGGGAAACAGAATGGAAGATGAGATGTCTTAAATTACTGGTCTGTAAGAAAAATTAATGTGGAGATCCTATTTCGAAAACATCGAGGTCAAGCCAAGTATAAAAGATTCGTCGCAAATGATGTGGACATGTAACTACGTTTCAGCGATATCGTGCTACGAAAAGCCAAAATATTTTTCTCTCACACAATCCCTAAATAAAAGACCAATTTTCTGAGATGAAAGGCGCTTGAATCATTTTTGCCTCACCTCGCACAATCTTTGCCACTGGAAAATCACAAATTCTTTCCAGTATGCAAGCCGCAATCTTGAATTCAGCTCGCTCCTTTCTCGCCGTGTTTACCTTCATCCTCATAACCTACGTCACACGCTACAAAAAGAACCGCTGACATTCGTGTTCTGAGCCGACGTGCCACGGTAAAATATCGAGCCAATTGTTACCAAAAACCCTTCGTTGTCTGGATGAAAACTGTCTTTCGAGGAAAAAAAAAATGAAGAAAATTTGTTCCATTTGGACTTCAGTTCTCCTTTAAGTCAGGAGTAATAAATTTCTTTTTTAGCATAATTCAACTCTCGGGAAAATCCAAACATCACAGCCTCGCTCTCGTGTTGTTGAAATTCTCGAAAAGGAACATGTTGAGCTCAAAGAAATATTTACCGGCGCTGGTTATGAAGCATAATAAAGGATTTTAGACATTGTAAGAAGGTCAAAAGAAATTTCAGAGTACAAGCCTCACTTCCGTGCTCTCTTCGTCACGTGACTAATCTTGTGACTCAGTTACTAAACATGTATTCATGATGACGACTTTGATTTATATCTTTGATGCTATTTTGGTGCTATTTGGCCCATAATAAACGAAGTTATAAGTTGTTTTATTAAGTAGCCTCGTTTCATGCATTTTCTGGAGGGGCATTTATAAAACATTCTCTAAAGAGCGTTTGAGCAGGTTGCAAAAGTGGTAACAAGATTTTTCCCGGTTATTTAAGGTCTCCTTAGCATATCTAGTGCAGTGGCTTGCTTTTAGCAGGAAATTCCCACAGAAGTACAAATGCTGCCAGACTTAAGAGCAAATGTTATCCTCGGTCAAACAACAGCTCAAAATTCAATTTGGCCCACATTCTCAGGTTAGGTAGACCTTAATGTAAAACAAAACGCAGTATAGTTCGTGTGGCTAAATACCAATTAGTTTTCCAAAAAATCAATAAAAACCGAATCTTAAGAATTTGCCACATTTTGAGCTTTCAATTTAAGGCGAAAAAGAAGGCTTCGCGTAACGAAATAACACACTCTAAAGAAATGAAATCTACTAAATCTTGTAAAATGAAGCCAAAATATATGTGAAAAGGAATTTGAGCAATGCTCTTCTATTTACTTTGAAAATGTAATTACATTCCGTGAACCCTCCTTTATTAAGATGAAAACTTACTAAAAAATAACCTTTAATCTTAGTATGTGGTACTAAATGAAATACGTCGAAAAATTTGGATTTCGAAAGCCGGGTAATCGTTCTTTTACATGTCCAAATAATTTTTTGGGGAAATGATTTAAAAAGAAGAAATTGAATTTTAAAGTTGGATAAAATGCCCTGTTTTAATCAACCTTCCAATTTATGAAGTAATACACAGAAATACAATTGTTTTAAAGATAGCATTAAAAAAAAGCGGGACCGACTTAAAAACTTAAGCAATATGTTTTAAAGTCAAAGACATAGATTGTATTTCTGCTTTTGATCATAAAATTAAAGGCTCATTTGATCTTCTTTACATAGCATATTAAGACTTCCACATTTTCATGGTATAACAACATTTTCATTGCGGACGGAGCTGGGTGTTCTCAGCAAGTTGGATTTGCCGAACATGTACTTATGGTAAGCCATGTAAGAAAACCACTTAACGGCTGCGGACCAATTTTATTTCTGGAGTTGAGAGCGGAAGTTCATGTGTACGGACTTTTGTGGCTGGAAAATCATGAACCCTTTATATAATGCTGCAGCTAAACCTTTCAAACCAACGATTCTTTTTAGTTTCAATATCAATTTTTACATTTTATACCTTTAGCTATATTTTACGGCGATAATTCATATAAACCATCTTTCTGTTTAGAGTCAATGAACCACTCGGAAAACAAGATCTAGCCTCTGAATCAATTTCAAGACTGTCATCACCTAGCTTTCTTTTCAAATAACTCAGCCCGTTTATGGTCACCAGCTATGAAAAGGGTAAGAACATTATTGTCTTAGTGGATTAAATGGGATCACCCGGACACGACTGGTCACGGATAATGAATTCCTCGATAAACTAATTTTAACAAAGACTAGGTGGTTCTATGCACATTTTCCAAAAACTATTGCTAAAGACATACATGAATGATGATAGATGGTAAACCAAATGAAAAAAAAAAAACTTGAACAAAAAATATCCAAATTATTTGATCACTTTAGGAGCCGATAGACTCCTAGTCACATGATCGACTACGCTCTTTAGCCTTATATGTTCGAAAATTGTAAGTAACGATTCCCACCACTAGTTCTAAACGAGTAGCTCCATTTTTTCCGTATCAAAGCATTGACTTTACAAATTTATGTGAAATTAGCTAGAATGGTTCCCGAATCTTTACAATTGGCAGGTGCAATTGGTGTTCATTGACTAGTACCAGTCCTCCTCTACCTCAAGTTTTCGTTAGGACGAGACGCTTAGACTTCTTTTCATTCTGACTGTTTTCACAAGAAGAGTTTTAGCCACTGTGTGTACCTACAAAAGGAGAACGGTTTACTCTTTGTTCAGTGAGCGTTTCGATTTGAAGGATTTCTCGATAAAATAGGGCGTGGTTGATTGCGTAATGTAGTAAGTTAAATTTTAAAAATGAAATTGGAAGATTTCTTAAGATATGGCCTTCAATTTCTAGTCATGAGATAGCTTGAAAATATTTTACATTAGACCACCCCCCTTTTAAATTTCTGAAAAGTCTTTAAATCTACTCGAGGATGGACAAGATTCTCCCTTTGTGGGCGTGGCTGTGGGTCCTTTTCTCTCCACAGACTTTATTAATTTATGACAACTTATTACATTTCCTATTACACTTTTCCTTTTGTTAACTTTGCCTCTCTTCTCTTGTAAAAAGCTACCAGGATAATTTTGACGATACACTTTACAAACCCCGTCAGTCCTCACTCTTAAAAGAGTGTCTCTAAAAATGTCTTTAGACGACACACATAGAGAATCATCAATTTAGTTTTACCTCAGAAAGACATTCTAGACATCACTGACTGTTTCGTAGGTTAATCTCTACATATTCTGGTCAGCCTAACAACTACTCTGTGCTAATTTTACAGCCACACGTGGCCACAACGCCTTCAATAATTTCCATATTGGGCTGCTTGCGCTTACCAGTCATAGATGCTACATCTAGTTCTAAGGCTGCACAGATGTTCTGCAGTGTTTGTATCGAAAACTTCGCCAGCTTAGACTGATCTACGGTCTCACAGATGTTGTATGTTTTGTACATGATGGGATGCTGAAGAGCTAACGCTTTCGTTACTTCGTTGGACATTTCTTCGATTGCCTTCTCTGTTATCAGCTCATTCCTTTCTAGTTCTTCTTCCTCACTGGATTGATCCACGCTATACGTTTTCTTTGCTGACAAACGAGAAAAAAAATCCAAGTTCCAACATGGCGGTTCTCTCGTGCAGTCAAGCACGTTTTTTTTGTCTCTGCGCATGTGCCGCACGCACACCGCAGGTTAATAAGATTGCGGTCTAAACTACTAGTCACCAGATTCCACATACTGGGGGCAGGGGCGTGAAGCAATTCGTTTGCTTCTTCTGAGTGTTTCGACCTGTGGAATCTGCAGTTCAGTTCCTGTAAAGTGTTCCTTAGAATCCGTCAGTGTGACTTCCAAGGGATACAAGAGATGTATTGAACGGTTGGTGACTCCGGATTTTGTTTTGATCTCTGCCGCTCTAACTAGGCCATCACTGCCACGGAGAACTTTCTTCACAATGGCTAACTTCCAGGAACTACGAGGAACATTTTCAGCGTGCATAAGTACGACATCCCCGACTTTAATGATCTCCTCCTGCGATCCTCGCCTCTTAGACTGATACACATGACGCTCCCGCAGCGAAGCAAGGTACTCACTCTTGAACCGTTGAACAAAGTGCTGAAATAGCAATGAGCGTCGTTTGAAGGCCTTATTGAGTTGATCATGTTCATTGAAGTTTTCATCCTCCAACTCGTCAGGATCAACAACAGGGTGTGGCAAAGCTGTAACATCGAACCCATACAGCAACTTTGACGGTGTCAAGGGCTCTGGATCATTCACATCATGGTAGACGAATGTGATTGGGCGATCATTCACAACTGCTTGAACCTCTTTGATGAGTGTTTGTAACTCGGGTAGACTAATGAGCGCGCGACGAAGAACTTTCTTGATTGACAACCTAACTACTCCAATCAGTCGCTCATACATGCCTCCCCAGTGCGGTGACTTGGCAGGAATATGCCTCATCTGAACTCTCTTCTGGGCAAAGTGATGCTGCACGGTTTGATCTTCTATGACTTGGAACAACTTCTGAATTTCTTCATCCCCTTTCTGGAATGTTTTGGCATTATCACACAGGATCAGTGAAGGAGTTCCATAGATGGCACAGTGACGCCTGAATGCAAGAAGGAACTGATCGGTCGTCATGTCATCAACGATCTCCAAATTTACATTGCGAGTGGTGCTACAGGTAAACAGGCAGACATAACATTTCTCCGTCTTGTTACCATTCTTGACCGTCAGATGGCCGGTAAAATCAATCCCCACTGTAGAGAATGGTTTCACCTTGTTGAGGCGAAAGTCAGGCAAGGGGGGTGAATGGGGTAGCTTGTATGCTCCCCCTATCTGGTATCGGCATTTGACACAATGCTTGAGCACCCTTGCAATTTCACTTCGTGCTGATGGCAACCAAAATCTCTTACGCAGTGCTACAACAGTGTCTCTTACTCCAGCGTGGAGCTGTCTCTCGTGAACTGAACGAACAAGCAGAGTTGTGAACTGAGACTTTTTAGCGATGAGAATTGGTTCTCTTGCATCTTGTTCGAGCATTGCATGCTCGAGTCTGCCGGGGGCAACTAGAAGGCCATTTGAGTTGAGCTTCAGATTAAGTTGACGAACCAACTGAGGTCTGGGTTTGAAGTGCTGACGGGTGGGTCGTGACTGCTTTGTACAAAGGTAGTCTCGATCTTGCCTGAAATGCTGAATCTGGTGAGCACGAAGAAGTTTGAATTCTGCTTGGGATATTTCAGCAGCTGTGGGAACTGGTATTACCAAGTCAATGACTGATGGGCATTGGCGTGACCCATGTGACTTACCAGAGACATGCTTCTGGTTGGAAATGAATCTCAAGACATAGGACATCGTGCGAAGCATGTTTTCATAGGACTGGAAGCGTGAGATGTCAATCAAGTCTTGGAGACTGCCTGTGTTAGACTGCTTACCAGGAACATGACTGTCCACAGCTGTGGCTGAGACAACATCGTCTTCTGCAAAGCTCTTAGGACTCCATCTTGGCCAGAGCGAATGGGCTGTTAACCATGGAGGACCTCTTTGCCATAGTGCTGATTGTAGGAGCTCAACAGCACTGCATCCATGGGAGAGTATGTCTGCAGGATTGTTTGCTGAACTGACATGGGACCAGCTGGATAGGTCAGTAAGCCTCAAGATCTCTGTTGTCCGATTGCGAATAAACACTGGGAGTTGCTTGGTACTGTACAGCCAATGGAGACAGATGGTGGAGTCAGTACAGTAATAGGATGAGATGGATGGGTAATCCTTGCTGAAAATTTCTCTTATGGCTGCACCGAGGCGAGCACCCATTACCATGGCAATTAATTCCCACTGGGGAACTGTTCGTGCATGTTTAGATGAGGAAAGTTTGACCTTGGAGCCAATGAATCTGACCTTCTCATTCTGAGCAAAGAAGACACAGCAACCAGCTGCAGCAGTGGGGCATGCATCACAAAATACATACAATTCTACTGGTAAGGCTTTGTCAAAGTCCAAATAACGTGAGGTGACAAATGTTGAAGCTGCTTCTATTTCCTTGGCGATTTGGTTGTACTGCTGTTGGAGTTCGTCAGGGAGAATTTCGTCCCAGTCAAATCCCTTATCCCACAGAGATGAAATGAATTTCTTGGCTGGAACAAGGACTGGGGAGATGAGGCCAATAGGATCAAATGTTGATGAAGCAGAACTGAGGACTTGTCGTTTCGTGAACTTCACGTCAGGAGGAATGACAATGGCTTTCCGTGGAAACTGTAACGTGTCTTCCTTAGGGTTCCACATCATGCCTAACAGGCCAGCATGATCTCTCTCAGAACCAGTCCTCGTCTTGTCAATAGTGGTGGTCAGCTCTGGCGAATTTGTAAACCACTGGCGGAGATTCATGTCAGCATCCTTCATAACCTGCCTTGAGATGTTGTAATACTGAATGGCAGTGTCCTCATCATCTGTTCCAGTAAGTACATTGTCACAGTAAATCTTCTCGTCAAGGTCTTGAGCAACAAATTGAACAACTGGATCTTGATCTTTCTCATACTTAGAAAGATGATGAAGAATTGTAGAGTTAAGGATGAATGGAGAACTTGTTCCTCCAAAGAAGACAGATGTGTAGCGGTAAACTTTAATTGGTTCGTCTGGGTCCCCATCTTCAAACCACAGAAAGCGGACATAGTTACGGTCCTCTTCATTAATTTTGATTCTCATGAAGGCTTTCTCAATGTCAGCAACAAAGGCATACTTGTTAGCTCTGAAGCGATGAATGATAGTGTTCAATGACTTGAGAAGGCAGGGACCGGTGTATAAACAATCGTCCAGAGAGACATGGCCTGCATTGGCTGCAAATACAACGCGAACGGGTGTTGTTTCGCTCTCTGGACGTAGAACGAAGAAGTGACTGAGATAATGAGCATCACTCTTACTCAAGGGATCTTCACTGGTAGGGACAGCTTCCACATAACCTTTGTCAATTTGGTCGGCAATGATGCTTGCATAAGATTTCCAAAGATTCAGTTTGAGGAGCCTCTTCTTTCCTTGTTGCAGACGGCTGTGAGCAAGGTTGAAGTTCGAAGGTAGAGGAGGGTGATTGTCCAACCATGGCAGTGGAACAAAGTAGGTTCCATCTCGGTAGGTGATTTGGGATTGGAAGCGCTCTAGGAAATCATCCTCTTGACTGGTATCCCTGGGGTCCTCTATTCCTAGTGTTTCAATTTTGAGGAAATCTGCAACTTTGTTGTGCACCTCGAGATCCTTTGCACGAGTGTAACAAAACCATTCACTGTCATCAAATGGGAAACTGTCGAGGGAGTGACCTGCTGCAAAACACTGTGAAGCTGTTTGGGAATCATTGGTACTAGTACTGTCAGTGGTAGGAAAGAGTCTTCCAGAGATTAGATATCCCAGACTAGACGCTTGAGCAGTAGGGTAGCCATAGATGACATCAGGTTTCAGGAACTGTCACACTGTATCCATACCAATTAGAATTTGAACAGGAAATTGGGTCTGACTGAAGTCATCTGCAAGCTGAAGACTGGTGATGTGAGGAGATTTGAGGCTATTGGCCCAGCTGGTGCGATCAATGGGAGTGATGATAACATCTTTGATGAGAGTGTCTACACTGATTGCTCCCTCATCTGTCATGATGTTGATTGATCCTACTGGGTACGTATTATTGGATGTAGCCCCACCAAATGTGTTAATACGCACAATCTTACTGCAGTGAGGTTTAATGCAGAGTTCCTTAGCTAGCTGTGTGGTGATGTATGAAAGAGACGATCCTTCATCAATAAATGTGTTTGCCGTTTTTGTGATTTCACCATTGTTGACTGAAGTGACCGCAGTTTTCAGAATAATTGGGTTTGGCTGACTGTGGCACAAGGTCACGGTGTTGTACTCTGAAGGGCATGAGTACAAAGTCTCATTTGGATTGACCCCATTCTCAGAGTTGTGGCTGGCAAAGCTTGATGGGAGGGTGGGTGTGGTGGTTGGTTCACCATGCTGTGTGTTTCCTGAAGCAGGTGCAGCATGCATACTGACTGATGCAGGAGGGGAACTCAGTGATGATTGAAGACCTGAAGCTCCATGAAGTGTAGTGTGATGGGGTTGCCGACAAACTGAACATCTGAACTGCGATTGACACTGGGTAGTAGCATGACCCCCTTTGAGACAATTGAAGCACAACTGCTTGGATTTAACTGCAGAGATTCTATCCCGGATAGAGAGTTCACATTGAAATGTGTTGTGGGTACTGGTAGGCCCACAGGAGCGACATGGAACTTTCTTTGGCCTGTTAAACTGTTTTAACTTCTTCGATTTAGACTGTTCAGAAGGAGTTACTGCTGCAGGAAGTGCAGTTGCTGTACCAGGTGGAACTGTTTCACTCAAGACACTACTGAAAGGAAGAACCTTGGGCATTGGAGGCTTTGGAGGAGGTGGAGGTTTGGGTTTGCATGGTTGGCTGTTATTACTAATATAGGCAACTTGCTCAAGCCTTTTAACTCCATTGTGTATCATCAGAATTAGTTGATCAATGGTGGGATTGGCACATGGATATTCTTTCAAAACATTGGTTAACAGCTTCTCTGGGAGCTTTTCAAGCAATATTGGAACATAAAAGTCTCCATACCTGGTTGTGGGAAGATCCAGTGTGGCAAGAGACCTCATGTCACTCATAAGACTGTCATAGAAGGTGCGCAAAGCTGAAGCTGTGTGCTGTGGCTTAACCATTGTAACGAGAGCAACACAATGAGCATTTTTGATAGCAGTTTTGTCACCATAGTTATCCTGCAGAGTGTCCACCAGCAAATCGTAGTTGTCTTCAGTGGCCATGATACCCTCCACTCTCATTTTCACTTGTTCTGATAACTGGCCCTTCAGAAAGTTGAACTTCGTGACTTTCGAGATATCTTTCACATCGTGTACTTCGGACTTAAAAACATCCCAGAAGCTGAGCCATTTCCTTCGGTCCCCATTAAAGACTGGCAATGCCATTTTCGGTAACTTCAGTGCAGAGTGTTTTAGCTGTTTGGAGACACCCGAATCGGCATGTGGAATGGATTCAGAGCTCTGAAGCTGCTGGGCGCGAAGGAGGAGTTTCTCGATTTGTCTCAACAAGGCTGAATGCGTATCAGAAATATTGTCTGCGTCGACGAAATCTTGATCTGCTGTGTCCTCCTCTCCCAGTATAACGTGAAGGTTTTGAATCTCTTTGTCCAGTTGTCTCATTTCGGGTCTTACGTCAAGAAGCTTTTGTTGACCAGCTTTCAACTGTTCGATGTCTTCTTCCGCAATTTCGGCTTCGGCAGCTTTATCGAAGATTGGAGCGAGTTTCTTGCCTTCATTGGTGAACATCCGACGTAAGTTACCTCTCCTTTTGACGGCGATTTTTAAAGAATCCTTAAGTTGGTCAGCTTTCTCCGTCATTATGAACTGTGAATTCCACTTGCTTGAGAAGTTGTGAAGATTCGGCTCCACGTGCTTTCAGTTCGCTGTCACTTCTTTTCATTGAAGAAACGATCGATATCCTGGTCACGGCACCATTTTGTGTAAACCACAAGACTGAATTAATTGACTTTAATCGACAAATACTTAATCACAAACTTCTAACAGTAACAGAACAAAACGGAACGGCCACGCTTAGTAAAACACAACGAGTACATAACGAGTCCAAGTTCCAACATGGCGGTTCTCTCGTGCAGTCGAGCACGTTTTTTTTTTGTCTCTGCGCATGTGCCGCACGCACACCGCAGGTTAATAAGATTGCGGTCTAAACTACTAGTCACCAGATTCCACACCTTGGGAGAAACGCAGTAAGAATATACCGAATACGTCTATCTTTTCAGAATTTTACTCTGTTAAATCCGTTATGGTTTATTATCCCTTTAAGGTTCACTAACGTGGAAACAAAACCAAGAAAGCAAAAGCATCCTGGAAAGAAACAGTCCTACGTTGTAGTTACGTTTTAGGTAGCGTTTCGCTAGATGAAGCTTCTCTTTCTGCACCTTGGCCCATGTAAAACCTTTTCCATAATTATCTCCAAGCTTGTCAATCACTTCTTCTAGTTCGTCAAAAGCTTTGGCGCCGGCAGCTGAAACATAGTCCAAACCTTGCAGAGATTTCCTCGTGGGTGCGGAAAATATTTTGAGAATCAGACGTAGTTTGATGCTACTCTAGTTTGCAGATTTAATGAATGTAACCGAAGAAGTTACAATTCATAGACTCAACTTTTCGACGCTCCTGTCTATCTGCCAACCAGAGTAGCATCAAACTATGTCTGATTGTCCACCTGGTTGCCGTGTGAACTTTAATATATTATATTTTGAGAACTTTCAATAGCCCGTTGCGACTCAATGGTACTAAGTCCACATCACTGTAGTAGCTTAGATACTAAAGGACAATCTAATCAAGGATAAGACTTCAAAAACATTGGGAACCTTTATTTCCATATTTGAAGACAGCTTCAGAGTTTTGTCGCCAAAAGGCAAGTCTTGAATTATGTGGGTAATAGTGATAAACGACAAAAAATGATCGAGTTTCTCTGACGCAATGCACATTCTTGTGCCTTTAACAGATTGTTTGTTCCTAACTCTGGAGTAATAAATAATGTCTATCTATGTTAAAACGATACCTAGACAAATTAAGTATCCATCTTTGCAAATCTCTGAAATTCACCTTATCTGTCATGATGGACAAAATCTGCCTTCGAGAGCTCCATTGGTGTGCGTTGTTATTACATTCGGCCAAACATTCCATCAGAGAGGAGTCCATTGC